GTGAGGAACGCCCGCCGCAACGCGGCGTTTGCAAGACTCACCTCGAAGCTGGCATTTCGCCACAGCGAAGAAGAAGAAGAAGAGCAAAGCCGGCAGCACCCGCCGCCGGGAGCGGCACGAAGGGTAGCCCATCTCCGCCGGGGTTGCGGCAGCCGCGGCGGCTCCACAGGTGGAAGGGCAGGCAGGAAGCGGCCGCCTGAGCCTCCCTCAAGCCTTTCTGCGGCGGCTTCCCTCACGCACCGCGGCGAGGCAGGCGGCCGCGCTCAGCCCGGTCTTGTCACCCGCCCTTCTCTCTGCCGCCCTCTGCAGCCAGTGAGCTTTGCCTCCTGCGAATGCCGAGAGGGTCTGGCGGAAACCATTCCCGCACGGGTGGGGTTGCTCCAGAGCACGTCGGGATTGGGGAAAGCGACCGAGTTTCCCTCGAGGAACCTCAAGGAGAGGCGTTCCCGGCTGTGCCGGGATTCGAAGGCACCCCGGGGCCGTATTTCGGCCGCCCGAGACCCTTCCCAGGCCCTAGGTCGCCTCTCGATCCCCTCATCTCTACCCTGACTTGTGGTTCGTCCCAGCAGTAGCTGTGGTAGCGGCAGACGCTGAAATGGGGCTGGGGGTGTTAGTTGGAGGAGGGGGACATTCTTGAGCTGCTTAGCGTTATTTTAAGCCGACTCCCAAGAAAACAAGAACAACGGGCGCGACAGAGGCGCTTGCACTCGGCTTTGCCGTAATCTTTGCATTCCGCTTAAGGAATCCATAGCAAATCTGCGCTGTGCCTGGAAATGAGAGATAGGCAAAACTCTTCCAGGGGATCCACTGGCCCTCAGCCTTCCTCTGGTACAGGGGGAGAGTTCACAGCCTAAGCGGCGCAGAGGATGTTCTCCTTTGCCTGGGATGGAACTAGTTCCAAACTATAGCTTATACCTGGATATCAAGAAGTTAAGAAAGTAGATATGGAGAGGTGTTCAAGAGGTGTTTTGAGGAATATAAGGTGGTCTTTGGGATACTGCCTCTGCCATGCAGTTGTTTTTAGGGCATAGTTTGGAACCTGGGAGAGAAGTACTAAGAGAAACAGACTGACTGCACATGAGCTACTGTATTTCAATCAGTGCATTGTAAAATCTGTCTTAACTGTAGGATGTATAAAGAGTTTCTCGAGGCAGTTTACCCTGAATATAACAAAATAGTTCAGATCAATATAGAGATTTAAAAGTTGACTAAAAGAACTAGTCTGATATAATTTGAATTGCATTTTTAGAAAGCATAGCCCCATTAGGAGGAGTAACATTAAAAACCCAATTCATTTTCAGCCACACATCTGGAATAAGGGGAGCAAGGGTGTTCAGATAAGTCGATCAGCAGAAACACTGCTTCTTTTACAAATGTAATACTGGCCAGAATCCTGGTGAATAGCACAAGGGTGATTTTGTAAGCATTTCCTCTCTGCAGGCTCACCATTGCATGCCAAGTATTGTACTGGTTGCATAATCAGGCATGTGACTGTTTGCACAACTGACTACATGAAGGAAAAGAATCACTGTGTGATTCCCTTTATAGATACAGTGTTTGTCCAGTCCATACACTATCATTTGCTCTAAAGATGGGTACCACTGAATTGACTTTGAAGTCAATAGTAAATCCACATACTGGTGTGGCATGTTTCACTTCATGCCTCACTCAGTGCTGTAGAGACAGAGATGTGCATGTAATTACAGCCCTGAATGATTTATTTGGATGGACCTAAAGCTAGTATGGGGACGTGGTGGCGCTGTGGGCTAAACCGCAGAAGTCTGTGCTGCAGGGTCAGAAGACCAGCAGTCGTATGATTGAATCCACGTGACGGAGTGAGCGCTTGTCGCTTTGTCCCAGTTCCTGCCAACCTAGTGGTTCAAAAGCATGCAAATGCAAATAGATAAATAGGGACCACCTTGGTGGGAAGGTAACAGCGTTCCATGTCTAAGTCGCACTGGCCATGGGACCACGGAAGATTGTCTTCGGACAAAACGCTGGCTCTATGGCTTGGAAACGGGGATGAGCACCGCCCCCTAGAGTCGAACATGACTGGACAAAAAAATTGTCAAGGGGAACCTTTACCTTTACCTTTAAAGCTAGTATGAGATTTGAATGCTTGTTGGATTGATTCATACTCAAAGCCTGCTTCCATCTAATTCTAGCATGAGAGAGCTACAGAGTCAAATTCCTGGAAACTCAGTCATTATATCACGATATGCAACATAGGGAAACTTAGAGGTCCAAATGAGGCCCCCACCATCCCTTTTCTGAAAAATTTATATTTCAGGATTACGACGTTCCCTTGTGCCCTCACGGGGGGCTTTGGGGAGAATTTAGCTGCGTTTTGGGGGTCCCCACAAACACTCAAAATATTTAACTGCTGGAGTGTGCAAGGGCCTTTTTCAGTTAAAAAACAAAACAAACAAACAAAAACAAAGTAAGAAAAAAGGGTGTTGCAGTTGTAAAGCAGATGTGGAATGCCGAGTACTGTACAGGGTAGTCATGGATTTCAGGATTTTCTTGGATTTAAGGATGTTGCCCGCTCTTAATTATATAAATATGTAAGATATATATAAAACATTGTGTATGTGAAGATGGAAAAAAAAATATGAAACCCAAATGTGACTCACAGAAAATGTCTTTTCTCTACAATATCAACTGACTTTTTACCTTACAGTAGAGATGAATTCTGGATGGTACATAATGTGGCCTGGTAATTTTCGTCATGTTTCAGAAACCAAACGTGTCCAAGATATGTTGCCCTGAAGCCAGCAATTGAAGACAATAGAACCCTTTTATAATTCTGCTGATAACCTCATTGCCAGTATAATCCTGATTCAGAGATGTGTCAGCGGCAGAAGGTTTGGAATATCCAGAACCCTGTTCTGCTCATAGAAGTCCCTTCAGCTGGCAGAAATGCCAATGTGTTCTCAGAACCTTCTTCTGTAGGCAGATCAGAAACCTTCCAGTAGAGGGATCTGGAGAGGGGGAGTAAAGCCAGAGGTAAACCTGTTCCAGTCAGGAACACAGCCACTGTACTAGCAGTGCCAAGGTGAGGATAAAGTAAAGGTCAAGGTTCCCTTTGACAATTTTTGTGCAGTTGTGTTCGACTCTAGGGTGCGGTGCTCATTCCAAGCCATAGAGCCAGCGTTTTGTCCAAAGACAATCTTCCATGGTCACATGGCCAGTGCGACTTAGACACGGAATGCTGTTACCTTCCCACCGAGGTGGTCCCTATTTATCTACTTGCTTTTGCATGCTTTTGAACTGCTAGGTTGGCGGGAGATGGGACAAGCAATGGGCGCTCACTCCGTCAATTGAATTCGATCTTACAGCTGAAGATCTACAGACCTTACAGCACAGAGCCTTCTGCGGTTTAACCTGAAGCGCCACCATGTGTGGCGTAGTCCTAAATAATTTCCAACAGCCTAGTCTGGGAGGGATTTAGGATTGCCTTCAAAATAATCCACTCTGAAAGAATTCTCAAGTTTGTTCTGAGCATTTTCTCAGTTCTTCTTTTAGGAAAGTTAGAATTATATGTCTGCAAATAGGAGACATGGTTACCCCAAAATTTCATTCCAAGATTCTGTTAATGTAAAAAAAGTTACAAGAATGATAATATAAATTTCAAGCCTATATAATTTTGTTGATGCCTAAAACAGGTAGATAATAATGACTCAAAGCAACAGCCTTTACACCCTTTAAAATAAAAAGTTAAGCTGCTTAAATCCAATGGAAGGAACTTGGAGAAAACAGCATGGAAATTGTGGTATTGTTTTGGAAACAACCATGATGTGTTTTTCACTAAACATTTTCCCATTATAAGCAACGCAGTGAGCAACATAAGATATTAAGAGATGGAAAAGTAGGAAAATACTGCTATCCATGTAATGAATTCCACAAGTGTATTAAATTTTTGTATACTCAACCAAATGATTAAGTTCAGAGTATTACTTAAAATCTGTACATGAGATACAAAACGAAGATCTCCTTTACTCACTTCAGAAATCTTAAATTTCAGACCTGTCCTGAAGGAGGAAAGGAAAACATCCACAGGAGGAAAAGTCAACAGATTTCCAGAAACAGTATGTTAGCAGATAGAGACAAATCCTCTTTTCAGGGACTTGAGGCAAAAAACAAAGGGAAAATTTGGGGAAAGAAAATATAATAGAAGACAACTATAACCATACCCGGAAAACTGTACTCTCTATCTTCTCTTTTTTGTTTACTATTTTAAATTAACAATTAAACAAAAATTCTATACCATTCTTTCGTCACAAGAGGTGATCCCAGGATGTTGTATTCAAAACTTGAAAGAACAGTGGATAGAGTTCGACAGCATACAGTACTTCTACTGCATCCCCCAGGTTCTGCCAGCAAAATTTGGACTTAGTTCCCCCTCTACATGTGTAACTCCATGGCATCAAAATCCAACTCCAGAGGGCTCTCAACCCTCATGAACAGACTTTTTTTAAGGGTACAAGAGTGGCTGCTGAAGGAAAGATCTTTCCATCTTCCAGTTCCACTGGCAGAAGCAACAAGATTAGGCAGAAGTATAGAACTGTATCCTTTTACAGCTACTAAATATCAAACAAATGCAAGAAAAAAATTGCAAATACATTTTTTTCAAAAAAATTAAGATATATTTAGATATAATTACCAGAATCCTACTAGTATTCATGTGAGTTTTGTGCAGCTTGCCATGGCTAATTGTGGCTAATTGACAAGTTACCAAGCATGCCTGGTCATGTGCCCAACTGTGCAACCAAGCATCTCATGAGGTGGCACCTCATTAGTTGTGGCAAGTTACACAAACATCAACACAATCCCAAGTTTTTTTAAAAAAATCATGTTGTCTCAGAATTTTACATGGACACATAAAAAACAACTTTTTATTTATTTTCCTTTTATGTAATTCTGTTTTGAATTAGGGATGTTGTGGTGCTGTGGGTTAAACTGCAAAGCCTCTGGGCTGCAAGGTCAAAAGACAAGCAGTTCGAATCCACGCAACGGTGTGAGCTTCTGTCACTTGTCCCACCTCCTGCCAACCTAGCAGTTTGAAAGCATGTAAAAATTTGAGTAAATAAATAAAAATAGGTACCACCACGCTGAGAAGGTAATGGCGCTCCATGTCTAGTTGTGGTGGCCACATGACAGCGGAAACTGTCTTTGGACAAATGCTGGCTGTACGACTTGGAAAGGGGGTGAGGACCACCCCCTAGAGTCAGACACAACTGGAGAATTTGTCAATGGGAACCTTTACCTTATTTTGAATTAGGACTGTTTAA